TTAAATGAAACTTGGAATAAACAACTAATAAGGCTTCAAAATGTGCTATTTGCAAGATCAAATGGTCAGACTCTGAACCTCACAGTTTGTGTGTCATAGAAGGATGCCTGAAGAAATTCCTTTCTTGTAGGAAATTGACTTTGAAGGTCTAAAAGGCCTGATGATACTTCAAAATGGATTAACCAACTAAGGTTGTTCCTGAAGGCCTGATTTCTTGATGCCTCCTATTAAAAAAAAATATCTCATGTACTTTAAGGGAGAACTGCCTGGACACAATCATAGTATTTTTAGGTCAACTTTCCTAAAGCTAGTGTTCATGTTAGACAACTACTCATTAAAGATCTGCATATGCTTCCTTGTATGGATTTTTATTTATTTAAACATTTTTTACTAATGTTTGCAAAATTGAGCTTGATGATCAATTCATTTAAAAACTGCCACATCAGAGACACGATTCCTTTTAAGCTTAAAAAGGAAATATTCAAAATTATTCGCTACACATCAATGCACTACACAGTTTAAAAATAGATCGGCAGAATATTCTCATTTTTACACGACATATTGAGTGATAAAAATGATCCGAAAAGTATTCCAATAGGTGAATAACCCATGGATGAACAAACCCTGCCCCTAATTGCTACCTGTAATGTAGCGACGAGTAGATCTCAAAGCTCTGAAGAACTCGTTCGCATGGAACAACTTATAATTCACCTTCCTAGTGCTTTACGAACGTACGTCACCACCCACGCATGTAATTTCAAGTTACAGAATGATTCCTTAAACTTGCACAATTAAAGTTACTTGCAAGCCCAGAAACTAATCTAAACAGAGGAAAGTAGCGGCTTTAAAGCGATTTGCAAATTTCATGAGCCTCTAGTTATGAAATGATCAGGAAGAATGCGGATTTTTAATGCAAGTTTAGCTGATTACATCAAAGGTATTTCTCACCTAAATTGCTGGCAACCACTTCTGCTTTATACGATCAACTTTCGATTCGATCAAGGGCAGATAAAACGACTAGAAACGACTTTTTTCCAATATAAACACTCCTGTTCAACTCGAACGGAAGCGATTTACTAGCATCGATCGTTCCGGTTTCCACGGTCAATTAATGGCGCTTTTTGACACATGTCATCTTCAGAGTGTCGTACATGACCCGCAAACTGTCTCTCTATTAGGGCACGCTTTTGGACACTTCTGAAAACAAATGCGACTTCTGTTTTGAGTCTTTCGTTCACTTCTTTGCAACTCTTTTTAGCGATAATTTTAGCTTTTACTGCTGGTCGTAAGCTGTCATCGTTGGATCATCGTTGATGAAGTGGATAGTTACATGGTTATTATATAATGCGATGACACATTTTTCACTGGTAGGTGTAAATTTTGGCTCTAGATCTGACATTGTTCAAATGAAAGGGAATAAAAAGAAAAGGTAATTTTTATGTAGAGATGAACTAATGGGAAAATTATTCTAGAATGTGGCATTCCCAAGCCACATGAATGTCCCATGTTTTTTCAGAAAATTTTCCACGGTCTTTTGGATAATAAAATCTTATCTTATGTTATATTGACATTTGCATTCTTTGCGGTGTAAAGAAAGTCATGGTGAAATTCCTATTGAGTGAGATATTGCTGTTACCCTAAATTCCATTCTTTAAGCATCTTGACACTTAAGATTTCACTCATTTTAGTTATTTCATTAAAAAAACCCCATTAATCCAGATTCTGTTTTATTTTTCTAACCCATCCGGTCCAAGTTATTTGAAACCGTTCCCAAATTCGGAGTTTGGTTTTGATGTTTGTTCTGGCTAACGTCGTAGACAACTTACTTAGCTACGGTCGAACTTATCTGAAACCGTTCCCGACATCCCGTTTGCTTTTGATCCGGAAATTTTATTTGACTTTCAGTTTCAAATTCCAAATTTAACTACTGCGTAAACATTTATCAAAACGCAAGCGAGCATTAATTATATGCTCATTCGGCGAATTTATCGGCTTGTGCAGTCGTTGGAAACCTTGCAAATCATCACCACTTTAGTTTAAAGAGAAAATTGAGTTTTCACTAACTTCAGTCTCTTCAGACGGTTGTGTATATCTATCGATCCTTGAAGATGCTATCAACTTCCCAAATTCGGAGTGTGGTTTTGATAGTTGCTCTGGCTCACGTCGTAAACAACTCGTTTAGCTACGGCCCTGAAATCCAATGTAACTGGAATTGTTCTGTCCACGAGGCTGATCTAACAGAGCTTAAGCGAGAAATGGAGAATCTCCCAAGATCGTCGCCATCTACATTGGTGGAATGTGACAGAAAGATATATACATAATATATATAACAACTTGAGGACAGAGGGACACAAATGCAGACAGCGAAGAAGTGATTTTAGAAAATGAAGACTACATGGAGCTTGCGATCATGTAGTTCTTAAAGATATCAGTTTGTGGCTGGAAAAACAAGGTAATTTGGCATTATCAACTGAGTTGATGATGTAAATTGGCCACCGTAAAGAGATTCAAAGCTGACGTTCCGAGCGTTCGTCAGCTTAATGCGGGTATCAGCGGCCATCCCGAGGGGTCGACCCCCGGGCACCCAGGGGCATTTGTCACAGCTGCCGTGACAAATACATGCTAAAGCCCCTCGGGTAGGGCAAAAAATTGGGACAAATACCCCCACCCCTGGAGCAACCTGGGCAACATATAGTCGGTGTTGCCTGTTCCTCGATGCAAAAGTACGAGTGATCATGGTTAACTGAAGCCACATCAGCACTAAAATCCACACAAGTCTCTATGGAGTCCTCAAATTCGAGCTTTCTGGGGCAAACTTTCTTGGCTTGCGGTTGTTCATCACACTGTCTCTTCCTATCGGCAAGACGCTTCGAATGCGAACTAACCCTGCATTTAAAAAGAACGGTTTCCAATCCAAGATCTACAGGGAAAAAACACATTCAAATCCTGTTAAATAATCGAGCAACTAGTTATAAACTTATCGAAGCTGACGAGTTTACATTCTCGAAATTCGCAAAATTTGTTAGAAGATAAACGTTTTTGAAGTGTCAGTCCTTAATAGCTTTTATACAAATTCTATCCTCATTCCTTTGTTCTGTCTTCCGACAATGGATGGCTCATTATTTACATCTAATTTGAATGATAATGGTATGACTTACCTCGAGGGCTAGAAGAACATCGAGCGAGCGAGCTTGCTTGTCCTGTGGCGAAAACCGCTGAACGTTGAGACAGCAGATTACGTGCAAATCCCGTGGGTATGGCCCCGGGGTATTTTGCCAAAAACGCAAAAGCGCTCTAATGCCCCGCGTGCGGGGCATGCCTTTGCTACAAATCCCCTGCTAAGCCCGTGGGTTGCCTTTGGGTTGCCCGGGGGTCGACCCCTCGGGATGGCCGCTGATACCCGCATAACACTTTGCTCGAGCAATCCAACGCCGAAATTAAAAACAAACATGGTTAAACCTCGGAAACGACGATTCCATTTCATCGAAAGTGATTCGGACACAGACTGAACAATTCTTTGAACTGTTTAGCCGGACTTGAAGATATGAAGATATCATTGCATATTATTGTTTTGATCGTATGCGGTTGTTTTGATCAAACGCTCGGTTTGAATAAATTTTATCTGCACTTGATGCGCGCGCTTTGCTTATGCTTAATTATGATAAGCCATCGCGTATTTTTCCATGTATATAATTAATTTTGTTAGTCTTGAAGAAAATTTACTCATGCTTATTTATTCCAAATTGCACTCGAAATCATGTGATTACCTATACTAATATACTATTGTCTGGGTATATCAATATGGTGGTTGTGCCATCATGTGGTTAAGTGAAGCCCTTTGCAATGTTATTGTTATAATAACCATCTCTTTATATAATGGTTAACTCTTTAGACCCCAAGATTGATTGTATCACATTTCTTCTCACAATTTTCTCACGACTAAAGATCTGAGGATCTAGGAAATGATCACAGAAAAGAGACTGTCATCTTGAACAATCACTCACAATCTTTGTTCTAGGATATGCGAGGAGACCAGAGATGAGAGTTTATATGTTGATCAAGGTGCTTTAAGAGTTCAACTTGATAAGTTTGTTCCTTTCATAAGAGTGCATCTACAAATTAGGCTGAAGGCGAGTAGTTTTACAAATAAACAGCATTTCATTTCGTGAAGATTTGTTAAATCCGTTATAATTACAAAAACAAACCAAAAGTTGTGTTCCTTTACATTATATTCTGTTACTAGTTCCATAGCCATTAGTAATTCCTAATTTAAAATACTGTAATAAAGAAAGTCTTGGAGGGATAGAATATAAACCATCTTTGTTTACGTCATGAGGATGACCCAGTGATTTTCGAAACGCGTCATATTAAGATTAGATTTGAAAAGTAATGTTCTCTGGTTGTTTGAATAAAATTTGTTCGTTAATAAATATACTTTGTGTTTGACACTAACTCTGTTGTCACTTAAGGATTCCTTATCACAACAGGCCCGGCCAAAAGCAAACAACAAAAAACACTTGTAAAAGCTTGGACTGGATGAGGAGAGAGAGAGAGGGTTGGGTCTGACAACAAATAATGCCAAGAAAAACCTGAAACCAGTTTTAAAGGGTGAAGAGGAGGAAAAGGGGGGGGCAGGGGGCAGGGATAAAGGTAGATGAAGCGGGAAGGAGGAAGGATAATTTTCCAAATGAATTTTTGGTCGTGGATAAGAACTTTCATGGGGAAGGCAATCCAAGGGCACGGACGCAAAATAATTGGTTCTAATTGACAACTATACACACTCTTGGCGAATCGAGATCAACCGAACACCACACAGTTCACGCCAAGTTGTCTGCTAGGACCCAAATCGCAGATATCTTTCCCTTCTTCTTTTTAAGCTAATATTGTTAAAAATATCCTTTCTTATACGTCAGTGATAATATGAGCGCATCGTGCATCAGTTAAAAACAAATTCCTATGTAGCCACTTTTCCCGATTTCCTTCCGAAGCGCTTCCGCCTTGTGATGCCGTCATAACGTGCCTAGCTTCTCAAGCCAGTCCAGCGTCACGAGCCATTTTGTAGAAGATTCCCTTTTGAGCCAACAGAGCCTGTGGAGTGTCAAACTCCATCATGAAACCTTTGTCCAGCACCATGATCCTGAAAAAAATACAACAAAACAAAATAGACTCACATGTCACTCAGTATTCTGTTCAGTCCAAGACCTTCTCTTCTTGAGCAAAAAAAAGGATCAATATCAGTATTTGAGCAATTATGCACCTACCCCTCCCCTAACCCAATATTAACCCAAACTTGTTATTGGTTGACTGTTACTGGGCTAAGGGAGGGGTAGGTGCGCAGTTGCTGATAGCACATGAATTAGAATTCACTAATTTCATCCAAAAGATATGCGACTTGAATATTCATATTTCCGGCTGGGCATAACCTTCACAGAAGGAAACCAAAAGTGCCACGGCCACGTAATGAGAATTCAGTTAAGTTTCCATTCAGTACTGTACAAATATTAAGCAAAAGAGGCATTACTTCTAGACTGGAACTCACCTTCCCCCTCCATTCTATCACCCCTGGGAAAAGCTTTATCCTTACTGCATCAACATGTGAGGAGACATGTAACGAGTGCAAAGAGAAGTATTAACTAAGGAATGCTTTACCTTGTATAGTCCATAATAGTGTTGAGCCTGTGAGCAATGGTGAACACAGTGCGGTCAGCGAACTCTCGCCGAATCGTGTGCTGTATGAGTTCATCAGTTTCCAGGTCCACTGCGGCCGTGGCTTCGTCTAGAACCAGGATCCTACTTTTACGGAGCAGCGCACGCGCTAAGCACACCAATTGCCGCTGACCAACACTGAAAGAATGACAAAAATGACCGATTATCTCTGGATATTCAGTAAAACTTGTCCGGAAAAATCCCAACATTCAAAATGAAGACGAGTGCAAGACTTTTCATACGCAGTAAGTTTTATGTACATACAAATACAAAAGTCATTTTCTCGTCAAAGACTTTAAACTTTACCTCGTTTTAAATCAGTGGATTTGAGCATCTTGGAAATGGGCTATTTCTTAATTGATAAGCACTTAGAGCTGGGTGAGAAAATATGAATAAAGGGGGTAAGTTTCTAAAGAAATTGTAGTGCTGCGTCGGTGGGAGAGTATATCAGGGTAATTTAGTATTATCAACTGAGTTGAAAACGTAAATTGGCCGCCGTAAAGGGTTCCAAAGCTGACGTTTCGATCGTTAGCCCTTCATCATTCCAAACTTATTACCTTAAATTTTCGCCTCCTTCAGTCACGGGATGTAAAAGACCCTCTTCCAGTCCTGACACAAAGTTCTTCAAATGACTCATCTCTAGAATCTTCCAAAGCTCCTCGTCCGTGTGACTGTCAAACGGATCCAAATTGACACGTAGCGTTCCAGAAAACAACACGGGATCCTACATCGCAAAAAAAAAAAAAAATGGTGATACAACCATAACTAAATTCTATGTACAGTAACAATACGTTTTCTAAAAAAAAGAATTTCATCAGCGATATCAAAACCATTAATAGCTTGTCATTCTATACTTCTGTCAACATAGTGACATGGGTTCACCAATCTATATGTTCGCTATGCAAACTTATGTAGTGCCCAAGTATTTTAGTCTACCTGTGGAATGATAGTAAGCCGTGACCGCAGATCCTGAAGACCAATCTTGGCGATATCCACACCATCGATAACAATTCGTCCACCAGCTCTCTCAAGAATACGAAACAAGGCTAAAGTAAGAGTTGACTTGCCTGCACCTGTGCGACCGACGATACCGACCTGAAATGTATGTAAACTTCGTAAGTAAAACTGCAGTTATACTAGGAAGGTTTCCGTGATAAGCGCAGTTGTAAGGGAAAACCTTGCTTAGATTAATATAGGCAAAGAAAAAAAATGGCGACCAGAAGGTGTTGAAAGATGAAGGCTTTCCTTTGAGCCCTTCAACCCTATCTCTCATGACCATCAATTAGATGGTTAATGGAAATAAAACGCTTTAAAGTTAAGAAAAAAATACAAGCCGTGTTTATGATACATTCTCAGGGATCAGTACAGGATGACAGCAAACCATTAGCTATGAAACTGTCGAATTTCTCGGTACACGTGCACTGGTTTTCTTTACTGATACAGAATGTTTTCAACACACCTTTTCTCCCGGCTTAATATCACAATTGATCTGCTTCAGCACAAGAGGTAAACCTTCTCTGTATTTTAAGTCAAACTCTTCTATGACAATGTTTCCTGCCTCGGGCCAGTCCTCTGAGGGTCGATTATCTGGAATAATCCACTCAGCCTAAAAAAGCATCCACACCATAAACGCAATATTAAATAAACACCACTACAATTAAAAAAAAATCCATGTCTTTCCAGATTCATGATCCGCACGATCCCTTTAGGGAACACTTTAATACCGACCAAACGTAGCCAGATTAACTTTTATGAAACAATGGGATAATTTTAAGCAAGGCAGAAAGCTGTTATCATTTATGAGATCACCCATACCTCCGTCGGAGTCTCGGAGTACTCCTTCACTCGTTCTACGGAAACAATGTTCGTCTCTAGATCACTGCTCATTCGCACCATCCAGTTAAGCGTTTGGGTTACCTTGTAACAAGAAAAACGCACTATTGTAAAGTTTATTAAAACTTTTTTTAAAAGAAATCTTGTTCAGTTCGAAAATTTCTAGTAAATTTCTTGTTTTGGATCTTGAAAGTTGTTCTTGAGTTGATTTTCTTCCGTTCGTTTGTTAGTCCAAGCAGAACGCGACTTCGCTAGTTCCCAGAAACAAAACAATCGGTGTCTCGGTGGAAACCATTTTAGAGCGGATTTCTTTTGAGCGCTTCAAAGCCAAATCCAAAGTTATTACGAAAGCGAGTTAGAAAAAAACAAAATTTCACAAGGTGCCAATGAGAACTCAAAGAAATAACAAACCAACTCCAGAGACGCTGGAGAAGAAAAACAAAAAAAGGTATGTCGAGATTACTTTTCACTTCTACATCCGATTGACGGATAGGATTGCTCGAGGTTTTTAAAACAGTACAGCAGCACTTCAGACATTCGCTTGGCTGTAGTACAATCAGATAGTAATAGCCATTGTTGTCACTTTTTAATGATTCAGCACCACGACAAGTCAACTGCTTACCTGCAAAGCATACGTAACGGACAAGCCTACGAGACCGCTTTGTAAAGAATTGCGGCTAACGACAGCAAAAACAGCAGCGAAAAATATGATCAAGTTACCAATAAACTCCAGACGTATAGCGAGCCACCTGAAAATAAAAAATTTATGTATATAAATAAGTAGATATATTGTTCAAGGAAGAGAGAGAGGGAATCCCTGATTGACTGAGTGAGTGAATGAATGAATTAAGTGATGTATGAATTAAATGGCGAATGAGGGGATTCTTTGCACAACCTTTGCGTTTTCTCAGATATTGGAGAACAAACAGTTCTAACCGAAAAAAAGGTTAAAGTGTTTGGGATTGAAAAAGTAGCAAAGAACACCCGAAAAGCATCAAGGGCCATTTGAAAAACGGACCCGTAAGTAATTACTTGATCACTTATAAGAATAGCCGCCTTGGCATTCTGCCATCACTATATTTTTTACCTGTTTGATGATATTGAGGGATAGTAGGAAACTTGGTTCTCATCTACAATGGCATAGTTGCCTTGTATGAAGCGCTGTTGTTGAGCAAAGGCTCGGATAGTGGAAGTTCCGTTGATGGTCTCCAAAAAATTGTTATATATCGGTGAACGACTGACAGACTCAATCCTTTTCAGCTGACGAGAACTTGCCACGTATATCCTCTAAAGAAAAACCGTCAACACACAAACAATTACATTTGCTTCCTATTTTCAAAAAGGAGAACAAACTGGCTTCAATCGCAAATATTGTTTTTCTTGGGTTTCGCCTCGCAAGGGAGGTGAAATAATTGATAACGATGTTTTCATTCACGTGGTTCATTACCCTAAGCTCTGTTCCTTAAGTGAGCCGCTAAGTGTCCACGTGAGCTCATTCCCAGGACCTTACTTAGACCCCACCGTTACCCACTTCTCAGTTTTCAAAAGTCCTTTTTTCAAGATTTCCTTGATAAAAATGTTTTTCAGACCACATGCTTAGATAATCTAACAAACATAGAGGAAGCATCCAGTCTTCCATCATAGCCTTCCCTGTGCATGACTATCACAATATGCTATTTTTATCATGGCTACAACGAGACGAAAAAAACACCAAAAATATGATGAGTTCAGCGATAATAATTTTAAGTTTCCTGAACTTTTCTTAAATTCCCAATTTTACCTCATTCCCTGACCATGATAAGGTTACCTTTTCCGGACCTGTAGCAACCAGGTCTCATGGAGACCTGTTACCAACTATAGATAAAGATCAGATCAGTTTATGAGCCAGAGTGGCCGTGCTATGCGATTTTATGCTGGTTTCAGTGGCATAAAACGACTAGAAACATTACTCTCCCTGCCATCCCTTGACAGGATATTACATCTGTGTGAAGCGAGGCACTGTGAAAGTTAATTGCGTTACCGAAAAACACAACACAATGAGTGGTAACGTACCTGTATAAAAATATACAACACTCCCAGAGGGACAATGATAGCCAAAAATATGGGTGTGGCAAAGCTTATCGTGAATATTGAGGCGATGACGGCGAAGAACGTCCGCAGGAACGATGACACGCTCCTAGGTACCATATCATCAATGCCACTGATGTCCTTAGAGAAGCGGTTCATGATTCTCCCCTGTGGAGTGGTCTCAAAAAACGACATAGGTGAGTGCAGAATGTTGTCCAGCATTCTTTGATGAAGATAGCGGGACGCTATTATTGTTCCAGTCGCCAGAGCTAAGGCTTGCAGCAGCACTAACACGCACTGGGACACGCCTAAAGCACTGTAAACACCAAGAAAAAGATCGCGTTGGTCGTCTGAAGTTACATCCGTGGAGCTCCACCGAGCGAGCCAAATTCCCGAGGAGACTGAGGCAGCTTCTGCCAGCACTAAGAAAAAAACGACGCAAATGGACAAGGGAACTGTGAGAGACTTTGCATAGGCCCAGAACACTTTCAGTTTCACCTGGAAGAAAAAAACATGTTAAGACCTACTACCTTAACTGAAACATGGTTTATCATGGAGATGTTCATAAGGTTAATTAATTTTCCAAATTCAAAACTTTACCAGATTTTTTACAAACCATGAAGATTTAGGACTCGAGGCAAGGACGCGAGCCTGAGTGGAATGGGGCTTGTCAAGGTGTTCTCTCTAGTTTGGAAATACTCTGATAGCACTCGTAAAAGGCTATTGCCAAATGACCGACAAAAATTCAGCCAACGGCTTTGATGCTGACAACTTTGTTGCCACAAAATTCAGATCATGTGAAGTTTGGTTTGGGATATTAACATGGCATGTAAATCCATTTATTGTTCCAGATTCTCTTTAAAAAGCTCTCCAGATCCAATAAATGAATTTGATATTCTCCGGACTTTTTTCAAGAACCGAAACTCTTTTTGAAGCCTTTGCTCCACAATTTCTTTCCTTTGACCAATACACATTCTTCTTGAGTCAACTGCATGACATTAAAAAAATTATCCGAAGCCGAATCTCACCCTTCCGGTTTGAGATTTCTCTTCTTCAATCATCCTGTCAGCCTGCTCCTGATCTGGTCTTGTAAACTGACAGTCTAAATCAGCAGTGTCCACAGTGATCACCGACATACTCTCTGCTCGCTTCAGACGTTGGACATCCGAGTGACTATCAAGTCTCTCAAGGCTGAGTCTTGAACTGAACTGACCATCCACTTCCTCCACGTCTTCTACAACTATTTCTGGCGTAGGGTCTTCGGCTGTTCCGAGATGACAAAAGCATTCTTTTTACTTTGAAAAACGTTTTTATGACACCAAATAACTCACTATATACTAAAGGTTTCCGATAATCAGGTTTATTAATAACAAACTTTCTCGCTCGCTCGCTACCAGAATCGAAAACATCCCGGGACGTTTTAACGCGAGATAAATTAATTTGCATAAGGCGAGGTTGCTCTGTTAACTTGTCACGAACTTGTCACGCAATATAAACGAAAATATTCCGACTTATTTCAACCCCCCCCAAAAAAATCTCTGTAGCTCAACTGACATAGCGTTTAAACAAGAACTCCGAAGGTCTTTGTCCAAAAAAACGAAGGACCCAGTCTATTTGTCCTATGAAGAAGCTTCTGACAAATCTTAAACATCTCCCTTTAAAATGAGTACTGTAAGTGACACTCTGATCTTGTTGGAAATTGGCATGTCCTCTAGTCCCAGATCACGACGGGAAACGAGGACAAAATAGGGTCAGGGGCAGCAGAGGATAGGAAGAACAATGAGGAAGCAGAGGAGGGGTATGGAGATAAAAAGAAAAAAAACAAGAACCGTCAGTTAGCACTCACTGCTACTGTATTCAACTCACCATACTCAAGTTTTGTCTGTTCCTCTGTGGCATATGTCTTCAAAAACTCGGCAAAAGCTCCCTTGTTCTTGATCAGCTCAGTATAGGTGCCGACCTGTGTACATAAACAATCATATCCCAAAAATGTAAAAATTTACTAACACGTTCAGTTGTTGCAGCCATCTATCACTTGACAGGATAACTGGCAACGTCGACTGGGCAGAGCCCAAATGACTCAAAATTTGTAGTGCAGCAGGACGCGCGTTTCTCCGCCCGCTGGAAGATTTGAGACGGGTCGGGGAGATATTCACTGGGTTCTGGAACTAATAACAGTTCTAAACAACTTACAGGCCTCTTGCCGGCTGGCTTTGCTCCAGGCCTCATATTTTCCCGCGGGCGAGAAACGCTCACGCTTTGTCCCAGGCCTCATATTTAACCGAGGGCGAGGAAACGCTCATGCCAAAGCGCTAATATTGAGTGGCTTCTTGCAGGCTACAAAATTGTCATATCTATTGTATGAGGGAGCCGCTGAATAATGTTCATCTATCAAACAAACCTCTGATATTCTGCCATCTTGTAAGACAATGATCTGATCCACTTGGGGAAGGAAAGCAATCCCGTGTGTGACAAGGATACGCGTCTGGCAAAGACGAGAACACAAACAAAGCATTTGATATTACGTTTGCAGGACGAAGTGCCGCGGGTTTACAAAAGTATGTTTGTCATGAAAGCATCCATTCTATCGAAATGCGATTTCATCCATTGCAACCATAATGGCATTCAGAAAATGGCTCTACTTACGGTGGTTCAAGGTAGTTTCGTTATTTCTATGTATCAATTTGTAGATAAACTAATACTGCCACTCTTTTTCGTACATACCCTTTTCATAATGGAGAGCATGATTTTGAGTCTACTATGTGCTCTCTCCCCTCCCCTCCCCCCTCTTGTTTCCGAGGGAGCAAATGAAAGTAGCTACTATTCATAATATAATTTGTTTTTAAAATAAGGAAACCTTTTTAAGCCTTATTAGCCACGATCTGTCTCTTTAAAACCTACGTACACAAGAGAGCGTTTCGAGTAAAAAATCTTTCTTGAGACACCCTTTTACAGATCTCGACTCATAGAATCCTAAAACAAACAAAAATGTAAACAAACTAACAAACAATGAACAAATAAACTAACACGCCAACTGACTCACTGACTGCCTGGCTAACTAACTACTCTACTAACAAGTCAGCCACCTAGCTAACAAACTATATTAAGGAACTTAGTCTTAAACAAGCCATCTTGGTCTCAAATGTACTGACCTTCTTTCTAAGTTTTCCCCTTGGACCTATGACCTTATCAAATATGTGTTTTCCAACATGTGAGTCCACAGCACTGAGTGGATCGTCCAACAAGTAGATATCAGCATTGAAGTACACAGCACGGGCCAGGCTTACACGCTGTTTCTGTCCACCGCTAAGGTTTATACCCTACGCATTGAAAGCAGTACATGTTTTTATTATGACAAGAGTGACTTGAAAAGCATATAATTATCTTTCACTCCTTCCTCCTTCAGTTTACAACGATCACACAAAAAAGTAACACATCAGCTTGCGAAAGAAAAAATTTATGTGCAAATGGTATATTATCACAGTAGATACTGAAAGCGATTTATAGAAGCTTGTGAGATGAAGATTTGTGTAGTGACCCGCTCAAACGAGACGATGGCATTCATTTGCCACACGTGTATTTGACTTTAACGCTGAAGGATAAGACTTCATTAATAACAATTGTTAGAATTTGCTTTTCACGATATAATTCGTCCTTATTTGTTGATTCTTCTCTATCAATTCCCCCGAGTTCTTAGCCGAATCATTGGAATTTTAAAATACATTCTAATATTTATAGAACTTTTTATTTTTATCCAGTGTAACCATTTACGTTTACGACTTTAACTAACGTATGTGGCTGGGCAAAAGTTCTGTTAACTTTACCCTTTCTCCAATCTCCGTGAGATCTCCTCCAGGCAGGATGTCAAGATCAGTCTGCAGTGCACACGTGTAGATTGTCTTGGCGTAACGTTTGGATTCAAAAGTTCTTCCAAATAAAATGTTATCCCTGAGAGTTGCATTCTGAATCCATGCTTGTTGGGGAACATAGGCTATTGATCCCTTAAGAAGGAAGAAAACATTTACAATATGCACTGAAGTTTTGGTCGATTTTAGATTCCTGTAAAACATATTCTAAACAATCAATGTAGGATCCTTGTTTTTGCCCAACCGCTTGCGCACTGGAAACACGTCAATCCGTGACTTTTCATACGAACTCCGAACTCAACTGATAAGATG